GGCCTGTGCTCTGACGCCCCTGAGGTAGCCCTGGCCTGCCAGTCTGCTCCTGAGCAGCTCCCCTGAGCCCTGGGCCCCTGCACCCTGGAAGCATACAGTGCTGGGTGGGCCTCCCCGTTACCTGCTGCTAAGTGTCCAAGTCCTGTGCCCCACAACGTGTGGATGTTTTTGGAGCTACCCTCTGGGTGTGACTTTCCGAGGCTGGGCTCAGGGTCAGCTGCCCATCGGCTCCTGGCACTGTGTGCTCTCCTGGTGCCCACCCCGCCCGCAGCGAGCCCCACTGCCAGGCTGGAATAGTGCTCGCCCCCCACCCACACTGTATCAGAGAATGAGATCAAGCAGTTCCTAAAGTCTCATTCCACCACATCTGGGTCACATCCTGTGTGGCCCATGAAAGTTTCTGGAAGTTAACTTTGGTTAGAATCAGGTAGGTTATATGGTAAGGGTTTGCAGCATTTCCAGTGCAAGGATGCTCAAACTTTGGGGCTAGAGACTCTTTTTGAAGTTTAAACATATTCTCAAACGGAGTAAGATAAGCAAATCAAACAACAATCACAACAAAATCTCAGCTTTTATTTTTAATCTTCCATCTCTTCAAGATAAACTGGAAAATGGAGAGGTTTGTAGCAGGGCGTTTTAAATTCATAAAACACTTAGAGCTGGCGCAGACTTTAGAGTGCCTGTGGTCTAATGTCTGTTATTTTAAGATCGAGAAACCAAAAATTGGAGCCATTAGGGCCTCGTTCTGGGTCACTGTTGGGGCTGGGGCCAGATCCAGTGTTTCTTTGTCCTGAGTTTATCAGGCTCTTGGCACCTTGGCACAGGTGCTGGGTGGGGCAGTTGCTGGAGGAGGGGAGAGGAGGGAGATTGTGGAAAGAAACAAGGGGGGTACAAAAAAATTTCTGGATATACATCCATCAGGTGTGCATGCAGAGCAGGCTGTGAGCTCCCTGCACATCAGAGCTATGAGGTCCTTATTTCTAGTTTCGGGTGGGCTACAGGCCGTCGTGTGTAGTGTGGGCACATGGTGAGCTCCCAAAACCACACACCTGGCCTGTTGAGGGCAGGACGCCTTGGCTGACTGCTTACCTCTAGCTGGAGTTCAGGTGCACAGTAACTGCAGGGCACATTCTCTGATGCGTATTTTCAAATGTCCGTACAGATAATCCCATTCCCCTCCCCTGCCATGTCATGTCCTCTGTCCCCACAGCCTTTGCCCATGCCTCTCTCAGAATGCCGTATAGACAGAATCGCATGTGTGTGGCTGCAGGGGCGGGCTTCTTCCACTCAGTAGCACGCATGTGAGGTTCATGCCTGTGGCTGCGTGCGTCTCTGGATTGTTTCCTATTATTGCTGAGCATCGTCCCTGGTGTGGACATACCACTATGTGTGTTCAACCACTGGGGGGTTAGGGTTGTTTCCAGGTTTGGGGTTTATGGTTAGAGCTGCGATAAACATTTATGTGCAGGTTTTCCTGTGCACATAGGTGTTTGTTTCATGTGTGTAATTGCCTGAGATTGTGATTGCTGTGTTACATAGTAAGTGTGTTTTTAAACTTTATATAAGATAGAGCCAGTCTGCTGTCCACGGGGGCCACTCCAGCTGCCCAGCACCCTCGGTATTGCACTCGGTGTTTTCTTTTTCAAAGCCATTTTAATAGGTGTGTCCTGGAGTCTCATGACAGTTTTAATTTGCATTTCCCTGCGCCTAGTGATACCGAACATTCTGTCATGTGTGTCTTTGCCATCCATGTGTCATTTTTGTGTCCTCCACGTGTCTTTCAAATCTTTTGTCCATTTAAAGATGTCAATTTGTCTGCTTTTATACTGTTCCGTTTAGAGGGTTCCTTACATATTCTGGATACATGTCCTTTGTTAATTTGTAAATATTTTCTCCCAGTCTGTGGCTCATCTTTTCATTCTCTTGACAGATGCCACAGAGAGTGGAAGCATTTAGTTTATTTCTCTTTTTATAGATTATGATTTTGGTGCCACATCTAAGAACTCTTTACCTAACCCAAGGTTACAAAGGTTTTTCTTCTGTGTTTTCTTCCAGAGTTCTGTTGTTCATTTTATACTCAGGTCTGTGATCTGTTTAGCGTAGGTCTGAGGCACAGGTCAAGACTGACGGTCTCAGCATGTGTCCGTCCCACTGCTGCAGCACCGTTTGTCATTTTATACTCAGGTCTGTGATCTGTTTAGCGTAGGTCTGAGGCACAGGTCAAGACTGACAGTCTCAGCATGTGTCCGTCCCACTGCTGCAGCACCGTTTGTGAGAAAGACTGCACTTCCCCATGAATGCCCTTTACACTTTGATGAAAAATCAATTGGCTGTATCTTTGTGGGTCTCTTTCTGGACTCTGTATTCTGTTCTGTTGCTCTGTATGTCTGACCTTTCACCACACTGTCTTAACTACGGTAGCTTTAAAAT